ACCCTAACCCTAACCCTAACCCTAACCCTAACCCTAACCCTAACCCTAACCCTAACCCTAACCCTAACCCTAACCCTAACCCTAACCCTAGCTAAGGTTAGGGTTAGCGTAAAGGAGAAGTGAACGGAAACTCAGGGTTAGGGTTAACTAAAAGGGAAGAAAGACCTAGGGTTAGTGTAAAGGAGAAGGTAAAGGAAATATAAAGGTAGAGTGAAATATAAAAGAAAATAAAGGCCTAGGGTTAGTATAAAAGAGAAGGTAAAGGAAATATAGGGTTAGGGTTAAATATATAATCGAAGGCTATGAATTCCTATAGTCTTAAAGGTATAAATAATAGCTTTAGCTCTCTATATAATTTATAGTATATAGCTTTATTATATATATAATCTTTATATTATCTAACGATATATATAATATCCGCTTTCATTCCTTAGTAATTATATATTTATTATATTCTTTTAAGAGTCTTCTTTACTCCTTAATTTCTTACTATAAAGTACGCTTAAATAATAATAAAGATTTTATCGTATAGCGATAGTAATATCTAAAGTAATTTATTCATAATAAGTCCCTTTCTTATTTCTATTATATAACTAATAACTATTTCTTTTATATATTTAAATACTTAATTTAGTATTATATCGTAGTATATAATATATACTTATACTTTAAATAGAAGAAAGTTAACTATTATTTATATATAGTTTCTTTCGTTATTTTTCGAAAGTATCTAGCCCTTAGCCTTAGGAACTTTAATATTATAATCGACCTAGCGGTGAAGTATATTTACTTTATTATTCTCCGATCCTTTTTTATAAATAATCTTAATATTATATTTAGATAGGAATTTAATATACTATCTATATCGCGAGCTAAGTTCTTATATTATAGCGAAGTAAGAGATAATTTAGTAATCCGTATAAACCTTAGTTTTAAGGGTGAGCAGCGCAGGCGCGCAGGCTCACGGCCACTTTCACCCCCAGGGGCGAAATTCTATGAGATTTTCTAGCCCTAACCTAATAGCCCAACCCTGTTTTTGCCCCTATAATTCGTTTTCCTTATTTATATCGTATACCCGTTTATAAAGCACTCTCGGTTAATACTATAGCTTTTACTTACTTCGGCTCGCTTATGTCTTCTTATAAAGATACTTTAGAGGCTAAGTCATCGCGAATATTCGCTTTCTTTTAATTAAATAATAATTATCGCGTTATCGTATCTATCCACGCTAACTAGCTAATGCGCTAATTAACTACCGGATTACTTCTCGTTAACTATAAGTAACCTAGTATTATATTATATTTATATAAGTCTATGATATTGAAGACGATTATTTTATAGTATCCTTATATCGTTGCGTTAAGATAATCGGTCTCGCGGTCGATAATTCCGCTATTGTAACGAAAGAGGAACTCGAACCTTTAGGGACTGTCTGCTTATTTATATAAAAGCCAAATGCTGAGGGAAAGGAAATTGGTAATTAAAGCCCCGCGAGCATGAAGGCCGTGTTGTCCGGGCGGTTCTGCATGTTCGCCCCGCGCGCCCCGTCCCAACCACGTCATGGGCCGTTGCCGGGCCAACTGGGTCCATGTTCTTGCTGGCGTCTAGCAGACCTCCAGCAGTATTCAAACTGCGCTCTTTCTCCAGCCCATCATCGCATTGCCCCACGACTAGCACAGTCGATATGCGCGACGACTGCATTTTACGCTGGGTCATTTCTATCGAAGCTGCTCTCCAACTCGATGCAGACGTTCACGTCTCTGAGCAACCCAGCAAGCGGGTACGACTTGATCAACAACATCAGTCCACAGGCAAAGACACCAATGCTGGCACGACAGCAAGCGACAGAGCAACCTCACGCCAACATCTACCCACTCCATCCGTGTCCACCTCACCACCCTCAGAAAAGCGGCGCGAAGGCTCTGCACAGACTTCAATGTCATCATCGCCATCCAAGCGACCAAGAGATGCAAGAGAGCAACCACAGCTGGCCGAACTCGACCTGACCCCACGCGCCCAAAGAACCGGCTATGCAATTGACGACCAGGACGAGAGCATCGCGTCGACGTCATCATATGTATCTTCTACCAAATCACTAAAGCTATCCCGGACATCCTCTCCGACAAAGCAGATTCGTCACGCCGAGCTACAGCAGTCTGGTTTCCGCCAGGCCAGTTTTGCGACGCATCCGCAGCCTCCTTCACTTATGGCACTTCGACGAAAATTAAAGCGTATCTATGATGGAGATGGAATATTGCCGCAACGACTCGCACATGAGGTGTGCTCCCTTTGAAATGTCTGTCTTGAGTGGCCTTGATTAATATGATGCAGATTGCCGACCTCGAAATCCCCGATTTCTACTTCCGCGATGACGCAGACACTAATGACCTCCGATTACCTCCACGACGATTTGTGCAACGAACATTGGGACGAGCCGATGAATGCGACACTAATGGCAAGGGGGAGTCGTCATGGAATATGGATGTCCACGCTCGTCTACTCAACTGGGTTCTAGACGAAGACTCAGATGGCACTGGAGTACTTGATTCCGAGTACTGGTGAGTTTGACCTTCTTTTGTGGTCTGTCTTTTGCTGACCGAAGCAGCCTGAACGCCGGACTCCTCCCGCAGTACAAACCGAGAGATGCGCCGAGCAAGATGGTTGACTTTTGTCTCGCCATTCGGCCGCGACTACCCGAAGATCTTGCTAATGTCGACGCCATCCGCAAGCAGCGCCCAGGCGACTCGATCAATCACACAGACTGGGGAACGCTGAGCAAGCATCCGATTGCAATATCTGTTGAGACTAAGCGACACGGAGAGCAGTATGACGCTGCCTTGCTCCAAATTGCCACGTGGCACTCGGCCCAGTGGAGGAGTTTACGATGGGGTTGCAGAAATTTGCGCGCCATCGAGTTCCTGGCCGGCATCATTGTCCAGGGCCACGATTGGCAATTCGTCGCGTCCACTCTGGGTGAAAACGATATCGCAGTGGTTTTGCGGCCGCCGCTGCAACTTGGTGACACGCGGTCGGAACAAGGCATATACAAGCTGCTTGTCTCCCTGCAGCGATTGAGGCAATGGGCGGAAGAGTCGTACTGGCCAGCATTCAAATCGGATCTGTTGGGGACTCCTGCCATATCTAGAGACGATTAACTTACTCGAGTATTATAGATTTCCCTAACACTAATCAAGCTATGTCCAATCTTCTAGTGCGCCTGCACCTCTGCCATTCACTAATGCTAAGTATTCCACTTAGGTTTCACGGGCGGCTTTATGGTTGCATCTGCGTCTATGGATGACGCGTCTAGTCACGTATTTCTCTGGTCTTTGGCTGCAATGTCGATGTAGCTATAGTAGAGCTCCCTTATGAGGTGTACCTATTTAAAAATTCTTTTTTCCCAGTAGGTTGCTTATCTAATATTCGCTATTCTCTACGGCGCTAGCCGGCCACTTCTTTATGTCAAAAGATACGATACTAGCTCAGGTACCTTCGCGGCGAATTGTGGAAATCGAGAATACGATAAATAATTGGTCAGGGTGAGCAGGGGGCGCTTTGGGAGGGGAAAAGGATGCGGGACTAGGAGACCTATAGAATTTGACTTAAGTGCATCGTCGCATTAATGTCAGGCTCACGGCGACTTTCACCCCTAGGGGCGAAAGTGCGAGAAACGCAGGCACATAGGCTCACGGCGACTTTCACCCCTAGGGGCGAAAGTGTTGGTAGCGCGGGCTCAGAGGCATTTCACCCCTAGGGGCGAAATTCTACTAGATATAGATATTTCTCGCTAGAATATAGAGGGGAAAAAAAAACTGTCGAGATTTTCTAGCCCTAACCCAATAGCCCAACCCCGTTTTTGGCCCTACAATGGCGTTGAATAGGTGTTACCCCCCAGGATATCGGAGAAACCTGCCTTCACAATGACGGTAGACGCAATTTGTTGCTCATACCCCCTTGATGATCGACGTGGGCTTGACGGGCGGCTCAGAAAATGGCATCTATTTGAACTAGAGAACTGATGGCAAGCGGTTGTCATATTGTTTGTAATTGGTGTATGTTTTGCTGCTAAATCCCATTACGGACACACGGATGCTCCGGAGATCGAGTAAGATTCAGAGGTAGTAGGGCCTTGTCTTATGAGAGGAGAATAAAATAAAGTGATTGGACAGGAGAGGCAGGAATCTCATTCTCGTAGGAAAACGTGCAAGGGACTAGTAGGCTGTAGCCAACGGCGTATGTATGTGAAGCCGGCAATCACTGTCCTAAAGACTTAACTCAAAATCCCAACTCAATTGGCCTGATACTACTGTAAATCCGTAGAACTAGTTTATTTACTAGAGGGGAAAGACAGACTTTTTCGTATCGCTCGTTCTCTCACGCTTATGCTAGTGCGACGAGGTCGGTATCTATTCCAGGGTGGTCACGGGTGCATACAGTAGAGTCTGAATTCTTACCCTAAATAAATTGGCAGGGGAAATGAAGTTCTAACTATCCGAGAGGTAACGCTTCTGTGTCAGCCGCAACGCTGTTAAGTCAGGGGTAGTAGGGGAGGCGTGTTTTACAAAAGGAGGGGAAGCGTATGTGATTGGGTAGGAGAGGCAGGGGTTGCCTTTTCGCACGCAAAAGGGCGAGGGAATACTAAGTCTGTAGCGTTTTTGTGGGATATTGACGGTGTACACTTTTTGAACAACAAAGTACCTTACAAAACCCTACATCTTATCAGTCACTGAAAGTATTTTACAGTGTGAAAAATATTGTGACACATGGCACCGCATTGGCCGGCTGCAGCCCACTTTGAGTGACCTAGTAGTACACGCATTCATCCAAAACCGGCGGTTGTGGCAGCGGGAACGCGGCTTATTATGACTCATTGAAGTAGATCCATGTACACACGGATCCATACCCTAGCTCCATTAACAGACAGGGTGCGCGAACAGGAAGGTACATTTGCTCACAACTGTACATCTCATCAGTCACTAAAAGTGTTTCATAGTGTGAAAAATATTGTAACACATGGCACCGCATTAAGCGACTGCGGCCCACTTTGAGTGACCTAGTAGTACACACATTCATCTAAAACCGGCTGTTGTGGCAGCGGGAGCGCGGCTTTTAATGACTCATTGAAGTAGATTTATATCCACATAGATCCGGACCTAGGCTCCGTAAACAGACAGAGTGCATGAATAGGAAGCTGCATTTGCTTACAACTGTACTACGGTGACATAGACATCAGATTGTAACGGCTAGGCTGGAGCTTCGCGCCTAATGTCTTATGCTCTAAGTGCATAGTCCAATACTGCACCTGACTAACACTTTGTCTCCAAGTATGGCTGGTTATGGACTACTTACCATAGAATCTCAGCATTTTGAGCCGCAAGGAAGATGCAGATATTCTAGATAATCTATATAGTTATAACGTATTCTCCCCTAGGGTTATGTTCTATAAAACTCTTCGGTACGATACAATGGAGGCTCTCCCATACAATATTAAAGAAAATATTATAAAATATCTTAGTCCTCTAAAGCGCCTCATATTCCCTAAATGGCTGAATAAACACCAATTCTCAACAAGCGCTATATGGGGTATGATATTCGAGACAGAAGATTGGATCGAATTGGTTTATAAAAACGACAATCCTAACCCCGGTTCGCCTGTTGTTTGCCTCTTGGGGGACGATTTAAATAAGCTTTATTCTGCAGAACGCGGGAACGGCGCATACTTAACGCTGCTAGTGAACGACTGGTCCGGTGATATCCCATACCATAAGGAGACCTTCTTCGCTAGCTTAAAGAAACACACATACGATAAGCAGTGGGAAGAAATCATCTTACATGAATCCGGTCTACGCCTGCAAATTAGCGATGCTGTCCGTTCACTTCAACACATCACACTCCAGGATCCGAGCCGCCTGTTTAATGAAAGCAATGGGGTAATTAACTCTAGCGTTCTATATTACGGCTCTGACTTCCCAACCCACCTTGGTGGAGATCAGATAAAAGGAGTAGAAGGCTTTCCACTTGAAGGAAAGAAGTTTATTAGCGAAATATGCATGGTTAAGCTACGGTTTAGGGCAGGCGAAGCGGTAGCGAATAGGTTCTTTATTAGGGAAGGAAGTAAACAGCTCGTCGTTTGCTTGAGGCGTACAAATAAGGACAAAGATAGTGGGGACGGTACTAATGTTGTCGGCTTTCGAGTAGGCCGCATAGACGAAGCCGAAGCCTTCCGGGTATGTGACTCCTTTTAATAAGCAGATGTTCTGTGTTCTCTGTCTTAGAGTGAATTCGCATATCTATTCTAAGCACAAAAACGGGGTTAGGCCTTTATAGAGCCGAAGGTAAAGTGCTTATGGCCCTAACTATTATAGTGTGGCGGATGCGGCCCTAATCCTCACCTAGTCGAACTACTGTGGTATCAGGCAAAAAGTATGTTAGCTCGCCCCACACAACAGCAAGGGTCAAAGGAGTATCAAGAATGAGATCACTAACAGACAGAGTGTAGCGGTTCTTCTGAGGAAACCCGAAGACGCTTTGTATTCTCCGTCTCCAGTTGAGTTAGTCCTCGTTTCGGGACCCTCGGTCGCTTTTTAGTGAATCGGGATATTAAAGTAGAACGGTGGAAGTCGATCACCAGAGCACGCTTTAGCTCTTCACTCCAAAGAACGTTGTCTCGCTTGAGGTCTCCATGTCTTATCCCGAGAGCTCTGATTTCCTTGATCGATCTATGCATCTCGCGGCGAAGCTGGGGCGTCATCTGCATCGTCGCGGTGCTTTCACCTCCCCAGCCCATCACGAGCATATGACGAATTGGTCCGGCGCCATGAAGGAAGTAAATTTTTGCCAAGTCCATCGTCCCCAAGAAGACGGGCACAGCAGATCCTTGAGCCTTGCGCAGAATCTGATATGCCTGCACTTCGCGAGAGACTTCGTTCCAAAACCCCGACGTGGTGCCTTTACCGACAACTGTATAACCATACGTCGTGCAAGTCAGTTTAAACGGGGCCCCGTAGTCGCCACAGCCGCCAAGCGGAATACAACGATCGATAACTTCGTCCAATTGACTCTTCAGCGAAAGCACCAAATCTTCTGTTGAGATGAGATGCCGATTCCGGTCTTCTCGTCCGCCGCGATGTTGTTCCACGTTTGGGCACAGCTCGTCCAGGCAACCCCCAGTCTGCAAGCCGAGTAAACATCGTTGCGTGCAGAAATGTAAAGCACGGCGGCGGGATTGATCTCCTTGGTCATGCCCTGACTCTTGCTGCCGAGAAGTTTGCCGACCGGACGGTGAAGACGCAACTCGGCTGATCCTCCGCTTTTGCCCAGCTGTTTGATTCGCATCAGACCCGGATGAGTTAGGAGATCGCGAGCGCTGTCGAATCTCCGAACGCGCACAGCTGGTTTTAGATCGTGTAGACACTTTGCGGCCCTCCGTTGGAGACGGCAGCGGGGACGAAGGGGGCGGTGCATAGGACGAACCAGACTCTGGACTTGGGAACTCAGGACCCGTGCTATCGGAGTGAGGAATCTGCTGCAGTTCATCGTTTGGGATCTGCGAACGCGTGTGCTCAAAGCTTGTTTTCCACGTATGAAGATCGAGTCGGGCGCGATTCCTCCACTCTTGATCACGAGCGGGTGACCGGAATGCCATCAAACATAAACAAAGCACCCTTGCAACAGAGGTCTTCGAAAGCTGGGAAAATGGATCGGCTGCTGTATCCAATTCGCTGTGAGGATCACAGAGAAAGTAATAAAGCGTGCTCGGTTCATCTTGTGGGATGCGAAGGAAGACACGGGCGATCCCATTTGTCAGGTAGGAATACTCGATCCCTTCTTGAACCATCACATGGTATTCTTGGACAATAGCAGAACAGACAAGCCGCTCTGCATTGTACTGCACCTTCGCATCCTGGTCGGTGGGTATTTTGTTTGACCGGACCATTTTCTTCCACAAATCCATTGGTCGTAATCCCACGCGGAGAGTTGCAACGGGCAGTTTGTGAGGCGGCTTGTACTCCACGGTCGTCAGGAGGGTGTCCGGGTTGCCATTGACACGGTGAATGCAAAATTGATCTGGACGTGGATGTGGTATGCTTGACGGCTGACTTGTGTCGGCTTCACAGGCTTCGCTCCTGCTTAGAGCATTTGCGTGATTGCTGAACTGAATTCCATCACCAAGGCGGAACTCGTCACGTGCCGCCGGTAGTTTGCATAGCTCGGCTATTATGTCGTGAACGTGCTCTTCCACCCCAAACCGCTCGTAGGCCTCGAGATCTTGCTCACTGCTGAGGGGCTTGCGGGCAAATCGACGGCTTAGACCTTCTAACTCCGGCAATGAAGAAAATAAACGTAGCGCGTGCCCCGAGTCCGACTGCAAATATTGGCAGACAGAGCTGTAGACACTCAGCAGCTGCTCTGGACAGTCGACCCAATGTTCCAGTCGTGTTGGGCAGTACTTCCCCGTGGGAATGGGTATCTTGCCGGAGGTCGAGCGCGATGGTGTCTCCACCCTCAATTGACGGGAGAGGAGATCGTGGCAACGGTGCAGAAGCTCTGTGAAAGACGTTTGTCGGTTGCGCTCTTCTGCTCGTCGTCTTCTTTCTGCTTCGTGCTTCTCGCGTTCTTCCGCCTGCTTCCGCCCCTCCTCTGCATTGAGGTAAAGCTCCCTATAATCTGGTGAGCTGTGGTCGGCCATGGATTTGTTGGAAAGGGGAGATTTGCCTCAATACAAATGGATCTGGCTTCGATCTAGTGCCGAGCGTCTCGGAAGTTCGTTTTTCCGAAAAGGAGCGCTCTACAGCGACCAATCAACCGATGCATGGCGCACGGGGCTTACCCCGCCGGCAGGCTTGCACGCCTCAATTCGCTGTATGCTTCAGAGCACCTTATCCAATCAACTGTGAGCAATCAATCACCCGCCGGCCTAATGAAATGAACTCGATCATATGCCGATTCTTAGCAGTGTACATATGTGCTCTCATGTGTCAACCAGACACGGGGCAGTGCAGCCTTCTGGGGCCCTTCGCGCCGTCGCATGCCTACCAACAAGCTGATATAGGCCATAGATGCACGACGTCACATGAAACTGGCCGCCCAAAGCAGGCCACCTAGACAGCTTCGGTGCCTTGCGCTTGCAACGGAGCTGTATTGTTCAATGTAGTATATCCGCGTACCGCCGACAAACCCACGCAAACCGACATATTTCGAGAGGCAGAGACGTTCGCGCATAGCGGCGAAATGGTACGGACATCCCTTAATCACCACAGTGCAGGTTAACAGAAGCGTGGCGACAAGCAGTCAGAAAGCCAGGCTCAAAAAAGATCTGCCGTAAGCGGTCAATGCGCACGCGCTCGAGGCCTGTTTTCTGAGGCCTAAAGATACTAAAATGGAGCTCTAATAAAACAAACGATAGCCGTTAGCCAACTCGCCGCGGCGGCTGCCCTAGAGTGAAGAGGTGCACAGTTGTTTGCAATAGCTGTAATATAGCTGCGTATACGCTGCTTAGTCGCTGGAAGGTACGGGCATAACGGTGACTGTATTAATCGCTGAGGAACTATTCGGGCTTGTGGCCTGCGCACGGGAAAATATACACGCTGCACGCTGCCACGTGCCTGGATTGATCTATTCCTTGACCAAGTATGGTTCTTCACGTTTGACGCGCACATAATTCCTCAAAAAAGCTGGCTACTTTTGGGTATATATAACCTATCGGTGACTTGATTGGCTACTTCAAAGTCGAAGGGCTAGAGGTTATATCGCAAGAGAAGGCCGACGGCACCTCTAGTAAGGCGGAGCACAATAAGCAGGCGAAAATTGCCCGTGCTGTCCGTGTGTTGAGCTAATGGTTGGTCCCCTGAACTGCTATACGTGGAGATGTTAGAAACTTTTCTTCTGAAGAGAGGTATAGTACTGGTGCTTGAGTGTTCGCTATACCGATAGAATCGCCCGTGATCGACATGTCTTATATGAGATGAACCGTTTCCTTATGTCCCGCTCCTACAGGCCATGACCTCGCACCTCCTCTACCACAACTCTTGCATCGACTTTGCAGGATCTCCGTGTTCACAAACCAACCCTGCTTGCAGCTTGAGCAGCTCCCGATGGAAGGGGATCTCATGAAAGAGTCGAGTAAGTCTCGCATGAAGCTTGGCTCGTTATCAAGAGCCCTTTGAAAAGCTCCGTATACTCGAGACGAACTGTACGACTGCAGGAGGCGGCTCCTGACGAAGGAGATAACAAGATCTCTGAGACCTCGCGCATCTCCTGGTGTTGATGAATAAACGTAAGAAACTGATTCAAGAATCGTGACTATGTCCGTCTCGTGTCGCAAGGTATTGTCGTAGTGTCTTATCGTCTGAGCTTTAAGACCTTGGATCATGTATTTTTCAGCCATTGCGTACATCGCCGCATGGAATGAGAGGCTCGAGTGGCCGCCTGATAGGTCCTCTTCATAGGTTCCCTTGTACATATATTCAACCATCTGGTTAACCACGGAGAGCGGAAAGTCGGCGAGGTCGTATTCCTTCGATGTTTTCTAAGTTAGATTAGCACGAGCCATGCGAAGTCCGCGGGTTGAAGTACTTCGAATTTCCCGCTGCAAGCTGCTTTAAATACAGGAGATTGAACACCAACAATGAGCTTGTGCACATTGATTTGGCGTCCCTCACAAATGAAGGCATAGTCGACCAGTTCATCCGAGTCTCTCGCCCTGCTATCACTTTAGTACTAGCCCACACCCACGATTCAATGCGAGGAGTAACTACTTCACAATCATTTCCATAGTTCGTCTGAAAGCCATAGTTGCATTATATAGTGAACAAAATTTTAGAAGGTGCCGTCACTTCAGTAAAGTAATAGCGTTGAATAAGGGTCACCCCGCAGGATATCGGAGATATGTGCCGTCACAATGACAGTAGATGCAATTTGTTGCTCATACCTCCTTGGTGGTCTGACCAGCTTGACGGGCGGCTAGCAAACGGCATCTATCTGAACTAGAGAACTGATGGCAAGCGGTTGTCATATCATTTGTAATTAGTGTGTGTTTTGCTGTAAAAGTTGATCCCGTTACGGACACACGGATGTTCCGGAGATTGAGTTAGATTCAGGGGTAGTAGAGCCTTCTCTTGTGAGAGCAGAATAAGGCAAAGTGATTGGACAGGAGATGCAAAGGTCTCCTTCTAGTAGGACTGTAGGCATAACCGACCATGTCGTTCGAGTTTCTCGCCAACCAAAGCGTTGTCTCGCTGTCGGCGATGGAAGAGTGCTCCTCGTCTTCCCGCCGCGCGCGTATCGCCTTCTGCTGTATCCGACTGTCCTCGGCGACCTCTTGCGCACAGAGGATCTGGTCGTCGAGGTTCGGCGAGCGCCGGGCCGGCCGCGGTAGGTATAGCTCTAGGGGACCGTCTCTGCGCGGCTGGTAGCCAGGGGGAGGCGAGCTTGTGGCTGGAGGCGTTGCTAGCTGGAAGTACGACTGGGTGGTTGGGTAGGGCTGTGGCGGTGGCGAAGACACTGGGAGAGACATGGTGCGTAGTAAGACGATATCGAATAGTATGTGTATGAATCCGTAGAACTAGTTTATTTACTAGAGGGGAAAGATAGACTTTTTTTGTATCGCTCCTTCTCGCGCGCTTATGCTAATGCGATGAGGTCGGTATCTATCCTGGCGTGGTCACGAATGCACGGATCCTCCGGAGATTCAGTAGGATACAGGGGTATTAAGGGGTTACAGGGGAGGCGTGTCTTGTAAAAGGAGGGGAAGCGTATGTGATTGGGTAGGAGAGGCAGGGGTTGCCTTTTCGCACGCAAAAGGGCGAGGGAATACTAAGTCCGTAGGCTTGTATACGAGTGGTTGCTGCAAGTAGAAGTCGACCGAGCATCCTGGCGGCTCGTGGATCATTAGTAGCGTGCCGCCTATAGTGGGGAAAAATTAGGGGTGTTACGTGCGAGCCGCATCGTGGCGCATGTGGGCGCATGCTGAGTCCTAATTCCGACGTAATTATCCGTTTCATCTTGTCATGCCCGTCCTCAATTAGACAAGGGTTACAGTCTCTCAGCGATTTATTTGGATGTATGTACAGTCTCTTCGTGTTAGGTTGGGAGGGGGGAGGGGGGAGACAAGGAATAGGTCCTCATGCACGTTACCTCCTTCGCCTACGACTATATATGGACCTGTCGTGGCAATGAACCGCCACAGGCAGCTACCCTTTGCCGACCTTGGAGGTTGGTTCATCCGCGATGTTGCGAGCACTGTCATGTCCCCTGAATGCAGATTTTCCTGCTGGATTCAGAACCCTACGGTCAGAGTTGCCGTTCTCGCCTTTGAGTCTCTAATAGCGGCCGCGACTATGTCCTGACCTGGGTCTGGAATCCAATGAATGAGCAATGCACCTATTACAGATTTCAGAGCTCTATCCTCTCTATAAATACATTCAATACAGCTCATCTACTGTCTTAATATGCTATTGATCTCTCCGGGTGGAAAATCAAAATGCCTAATCCCGCTATAAAATTCCCTTTCGAGATCTGGCAAATTGTTGTTTCTCATCTACCACCACGTGAATGGTTGAAACTACGCTCTACTAGCAAGGCGTTTCGAACATCAATTACAGAAACCCAAAGTAAGCAGGCAAATTTGTGGGCAAAAATTCTACCTAAGGAGCTTCCGGAGATGAAAACAGACCAAGGAGAAGTTATAGACCTGGTATTGGTAGGACGCATCAAAGATATAGGGAAAGCCGGCCAAAAGCCGTATATTTTTCTAGGAACTACTCCCTATGGAAAAAGACCACCAAATTGGAGGGGCATTTGTCACCTCATGGACGATATGAATCAGCAAGTTCAACATCATAACCGAACTGGAGCAGATCATGGGACGTTCTGTCTTAATACTGAGGGGTTTCTTAGTGCTATTAATTTACCACTCGACGGCTTTGTTCAGCTCTCAAATAAAGAGTCTCGCGATCTATTAGAGGGGGAGATATATGCCTTACGTTATAATACGCCCGGACTACATCGAATTAATGTCGAAACTAGGCCTGGCTTTATCAAAGGGTTTACAGAACTGATCATTCAGTTCGAAGACGCTTTTTTTAAGTTTGTAGATTTCGACCGGGAGTATAAAGCATAGAACAGCTTAGATAAATACTCTAGCCCAAACTCATCTTAGGCTATGGATAGTCCAGAAATCAGTTAGCGTTAGTCTTTCAGAAAGGATGTCCTATCAATTCTAGGGGCAAAAATAAGGTTAGGCTTTTGCCTACGGACTTAGTATTCCTTCGCCCTTTTGAGTGCGAGAAGGCAACCCCTGCCTGCCCTACCCTACAGGGCGACTAGTCCTCCGCCCTTTTTCTTACGAAGGAAACCCCTGCCCCTCCCACCCAATCACTATACCTACTATGCCTTTCACATAACCAAAGCCCCACTTCCCCTATATCGTACGCAATCTCCCGCGCATCCGTAACTACTTGTCGCTAAACGAGCACGAGCACGAGGCAGAGAAGCAAAAGAGCGCTAGGAAGAGTTTGTCCCCCGCCTTGGTTATATACGAGTCCCACGGATTCAGAAACCTATTCTACTATTATCTCGTTCCGCACTATGTCTTTCCGAACGTTACCGCCACAGCCACAGCCTCGTCCAGGCGCTCCGTCGCCTTTCCAGTTAGCAACACCTCCAGCCACGAGCTCCCCTCCTCCTTCCTGCCAGCCGCTTAAGGACGGTCCACTCCCGCTACGCTGCCGGGGAATAGAACGCTCGTTACCTTAGGGAGCTGGAACGAGGACTGGATCTCCGCGTCCGCGAGCCCCTCGAGGTGCGTTAGGAAGCCTGTATAGACGAGCCAGCGCTGCTTGTCCGCCCGCCCTGGGCCCGGGCCCTCGACGATAGCCGCCTTCGCGTCGGGATCACGGCCCGCTTGCCGTATGTCCTCCCGGAGCCCCTTAAAGACCTGCCTCTCCGGTGACGAGGGCGGAGGGCCGGTGGCGTCCACGCACGGCGCCGCGGTATCTAGGCCTAGCCGTGGCGGCCCCTCGTTAGTCTCGACCACAAAGTAGTCGATCCGCCCCCCGGCCGTGAAGTAGGTCTGCAAAACGCAGGGCGCCCAGAGCGGCGCTACTGTCTCCTCTCTTGTATAGTGCTCCGACGCCGTCCTCCTATGCCTTGGCATGTGGTCCCGCATCGTCTCGAGCCGCCTCGTCACAAAGTCGCATTGGCGGCTGTCGCATAGGCAGATATAGCCACTATACGTCGCTAGCCAGTCGATCGCCTGGCACGGTCTCCTCCGGTCGGGCCGTTGGCGCTGTAGCGTGTCTCGGTCCCGTAGGTCGAATCCCGAGACAGGGGTTGTCGGGAAATTGGGTGCGTCGTGGCTATGTCCTTATCCGACCTTGCCTATGATACTGGGCACGGCGTTATTGTATGCCGGCCGTGTAGGACGTGTATTGTCCCCGATAGCCGGTATACTAGAAAAGCCACTTCCGGAGAGAGCCGCACCGCCTACGCGGCGATCGACTCCAACTACTAGACATACTCACACAGTTCCGCCCGCGCCGGTACCTCCTCCGCCCTGCGGGGGTCCCCCCTTTGAAGCAAAGGGGCCCGGGTCATCACCGCTGATGTGATGGGAGGAGCGGTAGGCGTCGAGTCGGTCCGACACGACGCGTGTTATTATAGCTCCCTCTTGCTCTCTTGCTCTCTTACTCTCTTGCTCTCTTGCTCTCTTGCTCTCTTGCTCTCTTGCTCTGTCGCTCGCTCGCTTCGCTTACTTACCCACAGACGCATACCTTCCGTTCTATCGCCCCCTTTCATTTTCCCTTCTAGCTGCCCGCGCCCGTCCTCCTCGTCGTCGTCGTCGCCGTGGCCCCATTATTTCCTCTTCTAGGAAGGACCCCGGCTAAGAGCGGGCCAATCAGCGCCGACTTTTAGAAGTGAAACTTTCTCAAGTCAATACTTGAGTATGCGCGATGCCGATGTGTACCTGGTCTTCCCCTCGAGTCACTAAATTGTAGTACTTCTCTATGTCGTCCGTTCGGGAGAGGGCCATACAGAAAACAGGTTGAAGGATATCTTAGATGTAGTCTTGGTTCATCCCTCGCCGGAGGCTTGGTCTGAGCGAGCTTCCCTGGAGAGTTGAGGCAACTCGACGCGCTTTCAAAAGGCTGTGCGCTTTCCCAATCGTTGCCAAGGGGCCACAAATTGCCGGAATGCTCGACCGATATGCCTTCAAATGTCCTCCGCCGATTTCGACTTCCCGCAACAGCTGATCATGGCGAGACCCCAGTACGGCAAGAGACCGCGCGCACACAATTCGTGCAACTGTCATCTCCCAGAAAAGCCGAGTAGGCTGATCATCGAACCGCGTAGGGCCTCTAGCCTTTTCCAAGCGTTTGGAGATCATCTAGCAAAGATTTAGCTCACGAATCGTGCTCCGTCGACTCGATTTGCGGGGCAGCGCCCGTTCTTGTAGCGTTTACAGATCTGACTCGATTCACAAGGTAACGTTCCGCCAATGCTAACAAATCCTAGCAACGGAAATGCGACCGCGGGGATACGCTCTAGGACAGGACGGGCGAATCGCCACATGATGAAGATCGCCATGCTCCTATATCCGTCACGCGGCTACGGCCAGTCGGTGACTACTGATCTATGTATGGAACTACCCAACCGGGCTTTCCAGTTCGGCATACTATTCCGTGGTCTACTCCGTAGTGCTCGTTCCACTAGAGTCGCGCAGTAACTCGCCTTCCCCACCCACCTGGGCCCCCCTTTGGTGCGTGGATAGTGCACGAACCACTTCTCACCGAATGCTTGGCCTACGATGCTGAAACACTAGGGATACTGAGGCGACATTGACGGCAAGGTACCTGGTCTCTATTTTGATGGCCCGAATCCTGCCGAGTAGCCACGCGCGACGGACCGCTAGCTGATTTTCCCCAGCCGGCAAGTTGATCGTGCTGGCCGTCTGTCCATTGCCATGGCGCCAAGCTGGGGTCCTCGTTTCGCCATTGCATAAGTTGTAGACTGGTGCACGTCCATGACTCAATGGCAACATGTATGTAGCACCGACGATACTTCTGCAGGAGCCCCAAATCGCGCAGCCGAGACCCATTATGGGGAACAAAAGTGATCGCGCCATCTTTGTAAAATTAAAGGACATGCCTGACCGAGCCCGCGGCAACGATTGCCAACTCAAAGCCCATCATAATCCACCACGAAGGACCTCGCCAGACAATGGCTCGATGCATTATCTTTGAGTGGTCCGGGAAGCTGTACGTCCGTATTGACTGGAGTAGAAGACGGGAACGCGGGCGCGTATGGTAAATGTGATGCTGCTGCACCACATCATACAGTTGACGAGGACTTCAGACACCGAGGTATACGCATTTCTGCATGTGCTCTGCGTAGTCTGCTGTACATCGAGCCGAGCAGTGCCGGTTCGACTGTCTTGCTCCGCGAGCATTATAGCGATGCAAGCCCAGAACGGACGTTGGTAGCCGGTAAGTGTCGCGATATGCCGAGGGGAACGCTTGTTTGCGCTTGGGTTCAGCTCTCAACGACCACGCGAGAACAGACGAAAAGGTAGACCGAATATCTACGTTGTGGGACGACAAGACTGACTATTTATGGGAGTGCTTCCAAGCGCAGTTCTGATACTCCCCGTGCACAACCCGCCGTAGCTCCGCAGCTCGGAGCATGGCCGCACGCCCAGAGAAACGGAGCTAAGCATGATCTACCAGTTCAAGAGACTTTGGTGAGGACGGGCCCCAGATTGGCCGGATGAGAGGCAATACTGGCCATCCGCCAACGTATCGATACAGAAATTTGACGGGCATTTAGGGCCGACGCATCGCCATATTTAGTGAAAGTCCTCGCTATAGCACCGTGCTAGACCTTAAAGTCGTTCATGAATGTAAAAGTGGCATTCTTATGACTGCATATCGCCGTCACTATGGAACTTTCACCCGCGGAGTTGGCAAGTTTCTGCGGGCCGATCTGTCGAGAAATGCTCAGAAAGCTTGACTATCGCGGTGCCCCTGAGGTGCTGCCGGAATCAACCGAAGCTCTATTGCAGCGCATGACTGCAGAAGCCGCAGAGCTCGACGTTCCTCTCGGCACCCAAGTCTCCACAAAGGGGTTTGGCTTGGGTTTCGCCCTCGCTGTTGTGAGTGGGATAAGCTGTCTTCATTTCCTCTAGTAACATGAGCAGCTTGCCCATCCGCATCATCCGGTCGACATTCAAAGTTACATCGGACTGTTTACCTGGCTTGTGGTTCAGTACGATGACCTGGTAGGGCAGCAGAAGGCCAAGCTACAGGAGGCCACCGCCTTTCAAGAGCGTCTTCTCGCGGGCCAGAAGCAGAACGACCCCCTTCTCGAGGGTATCGCGACCCTTCTTCGACGAGCTCGTCAACACTTCGACGTAGTTCTGGCCAACATGCTACAGATCTCCGTGTTGAAGTTTCTTACGAGTAACCTCCTTGAGTGCCACCAGGGTTTCTGTAAGATGCAACAGACGCAAGCAGGTGTACAATTCCCCCAGTTCTTCCGCGACATGTCGGGCATGAACGTCGCCTATGCTGTATTCTGCTTCCCTGCAGCGCAATACCCTGACATCTCTTGTTTCCTCGAGGCCTTGCCGGACATCGCAAGGTTTATCGACATCTCCAACGATGTCTTGTCGTGAGTGGCCGGCCCCGCTTGCGAGACACGTCTAACACCTATAGCTTTTACAAAGAGGAGCTCGAGGGAGAGAAGCGCAACTACATCCGCAACTGCATGGAAGTTGCCGACCGGGGGGCGTACGACATCCTGCAGAGAACTTCCGAAGAGGTGGCAGCAACGGTGCATCGCGTCAACGAAGTTCTTGGGAAACAGCCCATCTATGCTCAATCCTGGGCAAGTTTCTTGCGGGGGTACATAGCAATGCACACCTGCACCAATCGGTACAAGCTCGTGCAGCTCGGCTTGGGCGAGGACAATCCGCTTCCATCATATGCAGGCAAGTTTAGGGACTGCTTGAAAGGCTCAGAATGCATAAAGCGCAGTGACAGTGACCCATAGACGCCATATCTAGGAACCCTTAGAGTTGTCCGATCAATGCGAACATATTATCCGCCGCTTGAAGCTTTTTGGCCAGACGTGCGTCTACCAGATAAGGGTCTAAGCGCGCGAATTCACCGTGGGTGTCTTCCCAAGTACATCCAAATCACTCGCAGAGGGCCAGACGTTGACAACGCATACGGGTGCCTTGGATAGTATGGATGTAGCATCAAGTTGGGACGAGGACTAGTAGCAGCATTTGAGGATAAAAACACCGCTCAAGTCTTCCGCGAAACTATGACCTACCATAGCCACGCGAGTAAAATCGCGGTAATAGTACCAGGAATCAGGATAAATACGAAAAGGCCTCGCACTAACCGTATGGTCTGATCCGGAGCCGGCAGGTCGCGAATTGGGTGGAAGAGATAGACGTTCTCGACCCAAGAGAGCCAGCGATACGACTCAGGAGGAAGCTCCGCATTTGTCCAGGAGAGTTGGCGGACGAGCTTGTTCAGCTTGCGCCAGGGCCGCCGGAAGGAGAATGATGCTAGCCTCTCGCGTGACGTTTGAGGCGTATCAGGGCAGCCCAGGAGATCGGTAGTGCACATTGACACGATGTGTCCGGATAGGAAGACGTCATGTTTGAACGCCCGAATGCGCACGAGGAGCTTGGGAGACGTGCCAATCTAGACCCATATCCCCAACGGCAGCTTGCGGCCGCGCACGGGCCGGCGGCGGCAGGTTCTAGCCAGCTTCGGGGTGGCATATTATGTGCCTCATGTGCTGTACTAAATGAGCCATATGCCAGCAACTAGGAAGCGAACTCGCGAACCTGATACCAGTACTGGGCTCTGACCTTGAGTTCTTGTATAACGCGAAGCCTCTATCCTCAGGCTACGGACCGCTACACCTTTATCTCGGCCTTGTGGAACACGGAGGCAACATAATAAAGTTCCCTAGCACCTTAGAGTACCTTTTGCGACTAAATGTATTAGAAAAAGAAAAGCAATCCGGAAATATTATACACGACCTTACGAAAAGATTATTCACGATCTCAGAGGTTCTCAATATCGGCATTGGGAGCACAAAAGTCCTATACGGCAAGTCAAGCATGGAAATATATGATACCACTATACAATACAATATCCATCATGTCTATGTCGCGAGAGATCAGATTGTAGACGGTCTTTTCTCTCACATGATATTTGAAGGAACGCGAACAATGAACCCAGTCTAGTTTTCAAGTCATCAAGATCACAATTTGAGCATGCAGTATAGTGACAGTGAATGAGTCGATGGCCGTGAAGTCAGTCGCGGGGTCGGGTAGGCACAGGCTGTGAACAAGCTTATTTAGGCTAGTTCGTTTTGGCTTAGAGATACCATGCTTCTCGCCAAGGTGTCGTGAAACGCGGTCCCTATCCGCCTTGAGCGCGACGCCGCAGGGCCTGCACAGGATAGCACGCTCCCCTGGCAAGTCATGTAAGTAGAATCGAGGCTCGTAAGCCTTTCGACTTGCTTTAGGGTCAGAGGGTCGATAATCATCGCTGCGTGCGTTCGACTCGTATAGTATTATCTTAATATAAGGATAAACGGCCTCGAGCTTTTCTACTGACTAGAGTATGGTGCCACATGCGGCTGCTCGCTCGGCCAGACGGTGCAGCGAAGGTCGGCAGTACGCCCAGGCAAAACCCAGAACTGCGGCGAGGGCAATCACTTTGTCCGCAGCCATAGGTATGCTTGTTGACCGACTCGACATTCTAGAATAAGGCACTGAAGCTGCTTCCACCAAGGGAAAGTGATCCTCCAGAGCTAGCCTGGTCCCAAAGCTAGTTCCAAGACAGTCTTTAGCATGCTCTTTCGCTGTTAGCACAAGTATAAACGCGTGTGAGCCCTCCTCCACTCGCCTGCAACTTACACAACTGCTCTCAGACCGTAGCTGTCCTGTATCCGAAAGCGAACGTTGGCATCGAGATCTTGAGATGCGCCGTCGTTATCGACACTCATTTGTGCTAGACTAGAGCAGTTCTGTCTCTTGATTCGCATAGACGTGCTATGAAAAGGCCAAAGTCATAAGCCAAGTGAAAGAAGCAACCCAATTCCTACTCCATGTAGACCGCGGGGTCTAAGCATCCTGTGAAGCCCTAATCGGATGCCTTAGGACTGTTCATGTACATGTCTGCCTCAGATTGTATCATGGCCATTTGCTCCTCACTCCACGTCGGAGATGGTGGACAGCTATCCTCCCAATCAGAAGAACTGTAGCCAAGACTCCGCATTTGTGCTCGCCGTGTCGCTCGTCGCTGCTCTCGTTCAGCTCTGCGTGTGCTCTCCTCCTCCTGCATACGCCTTTCATAACGAGGTCTCCAACAAGTGACGCACAGTTTTGTACTCGTATGGTCGTCCTCATTCGCCTTTAGACCAAACCGATTGCAATTCTCGCAGATAATATAAGGGACGCCCTGAATATCAATGTGGTTCCCCCTGACGTATCGTACCCGAGGATTTCTGCCTTCGCAATCTGCTAGACCACACTCGACGCAGAATCGTTTCATGCTCTCACGGCCAAACCTGCCCCTTTTTTTTCTCAATTGCGGATCTGCGAAACGGTCTACTGATCTGAGTCGAAGGCAGTCATAGCAGCCGTATAGGTCTTTGGTCTCAGCTGATGTTGATAACTCGGCGTCCTGAAGCTCTTCCGGAGATAACTTGGGTATGACATTATTGAAGTAGGTCGAGGTTACCTTAAGACATATGCGGTCCATGGGACTTAGATAAGATAAAATCTTAAGATGTATCTCCCCAGGCAGATTAGCAAGTAAGGATGCGTCGCACATGCTGGGAGTGCTTGAAAATAGAGGCCAAGGCCATGGATTGCTCTGTTTAAGACTTGGAGCGGGGAAAGTTTATATCGTGTAAACAATGTAACGCCACGGCATATAGTTATAGTAATATCGCTTTGTGACGTCGAGCCGCAGCTATGACCACCAGCCACACCTCGGTGCGGCTGGGTGCATGCTCGAGCCCCGAACCCCCTGCTCCTTAAGGTTCACCTGTCAGAAACGGAACACCGAGAAGAGTGAAGAGGTGCACAATTGTCTGCGATAGCTATTAGGTAGCCACGTCTTCGTAGCTCGTCGCGGCAAGGTAGGGGGCACACTGTGACTGTATTAATCTCTGAGGAGCTCTCAGGCCAATTCGGCCAGCACCTAAGAATATCTATCGGTCTCGCTTAGTCATATAGTGGCCACACGCCGCCACATGCCCTAGACCTAGTGGAGCAACTGCCGCTGGCCCGAAGCTCAGCCGGATCTTCCCAGCCGCCCAGGCTCACACTGGTCTCACTTTGCGCTGTGCTTGACAGGCGTCCTCTACCCCTTCGCTCCGAACGGGAGTCTATCACCTCTTTAACTTCGAACTCCTCACCTCCATCAACCTCTACGGGCGGTGGCGGAGGATGTTTCTGTCCTGGCAGGGGATCGTCCGTAGCAGGCCTTAGCAGGTTCGTATAAAAGACTGGTTGTATCCTCATAGTAGCGGGTAGGTCGAGCTTGTAAGCGTGTGGGGCTCAAGACACTCGTTCTGCACGCGCTCGCCCGTCGAATTAATGTCGTTAGAGTGGTCCAAGAGGGCTGCAATGCGGCACCGCCGACGTGAGTGGCGGTGGTAAGGTCGCTGCACCGTACTGCCAACACATGAGTGGATATTCTGACGCGAGAAACTCCATTCTCTCAATCAGAATCTGGGCCGCCATGTTGAACATGGGTGCGGATGTATACTACGGTGCCTCCGGATCTGATACGTCGCTCAGACTTTTCTCTCAATCGTTCAATAGAATACGCGGATCTTCTGAATATTGTCACTTGAAACGATCACCCGCTGTTGTTGTTACGACCCAACATGCGACCGCATGTGCCACAGCAGAAGGACCCATTTTTTGCACCAATCATAACAGGCTCAACATTCATGCGCCATGATCCGGCTCATCTCACTCGTTCAATGAGCCGCATGATCCAACACCGATCATGTACCAACATCAATGATCCCACACAGATCATCTAGACATCACAATGATCCCATTATACATAGGAAGCTACGCCTCGTCATCGTCAGTCTCTACCTAGCTCCCCAGCTATCAATACAATAGTCAACTCTTAGACTACTATCTCCGCACATCGACTGTGACCCGACCGCTCAAGTCAACGACATCCTAGTGTACTCAGTTCATAAACTGACTTCTGCTCTGACTACCCGGTAGCCAGACCAGACCCGAACGTCACACCCTAAGGTTAGAATAGTAAGGGGAAACCCTATAAGTGTCACGGGCGTCTCTCTGAACAGGTGGACGGGGAAAGTATTCGGATCTATTGCTACGGATAGGCACTCTCCACGTGCATAGGAAGAACTGAAGTCATTATACACGATATTTCGGATGATAATACGATGTCCGATGTTCTTAATATCGGCCTTGGGAAAACGAAAGTCTTGTTCGGCAAATCAGGTACTAAACTATACGACGCTACTATAAACTATAAGATCGAGGCAGGTCAGCCCGAAGATACATTTACTTACCCTACTATCCGACTTCAAGATACGGGAATCAATTATATATGTTCTCTGGAAAGTTACATGCCCCAGAATCCTAAGTCCCCGTGCTCTTGAGGGGCAATTCCTTTCCAATATCAATCACAGCAGTTATTTGGGCCTTACGGAGCAGTGTTCCGTATAGCTAGACAATTCCGCCCAGATATAGCCGCTTCCGACGAACGGACCTATTCTGACTACGAGGATTAGCTAGGGTTAGCTGGATAAGCAGGGGTGAGCTTCCTGCCCGTTCTGTGTCGAGCTAATACGGCGTTGCTCGAAGCTTCTAGGGTAGGTTGTTGTCACCTTCCGCCGGGTGACGTGGGCAAGCGCACCTGACGTCACGCAACCGCAGGCTTCAGTACTAGGTCAAAGGGCGTTAAATTCTCCAATTCGTAAAAAATTATGGAAGAAAAGTATCTGCAACTTGCAAACACTGGCCCTTGGATCGTTGCGGATCGAGTCGCGACATCCGATTCCATCCAAGGCAACTTGTGTTGTGTCCGACGTTTTGGCTCCCGCATTGGCTCGGTTGCCCGGCAACCCATGCGCGCTGCGGCACCACGACACGACTTTACTGTCCATCGGCAGGCCATTTTGCGACGACGCAATGTAACAAACGATAAATGGTTCACTGCCGCCTCGAAATCGAAGACACAGAAACCAATTGAGGACGGGCAATGATCGGATACGACAGGTCTGAGCGGACCATCGACAAGCAACGCTGGATTTGCGACTGGATTGACGAGGCCAGCGGCCTCGCCGTACCACCACCGACCGAAGACATCACGCACACTCCGACCGTGACGAACAAGACATCGCGGCCTCGGTCTTCTAGCATACAGGAAATCGGGCACCCGCCGAAGCGCTCGAAGACCAATCACTTGCCCACCCCGCCCCCGGGAAGCATGTCCGACGCATCGGGGAGTCGCAAACGCCAGTCCGACGTCGTGGACGACGACAGTAGGTACCAGGACCTCACGAGACAACGGTAGCTGACGCGGAGCAGTCTTCACCACTCCGAAAGTGAAGGTAACGACCTATAAGCGACCGCGGTCGAATAGTCCGAAGAAAAGGAGCCAGCCCTCCTCGAAGCTCAACCTGTCCATTCTCGAGAAGCCAATTTACGAGGAAGCCCTCAGGGCCGACAACCTACCTCCAGACGTGGCGCATCTTCGGGCACAACTGGCAGATCAATGGCGAAGCGGGACCACGATATCTGATACGGACAAGAGGCTTGATGTGCTGCGTGACATCGTGGCAGACGCAGCGGAGGCGTCAAAGTATCTCGCCCACGAGTCGTCATGGAATAACCTGGTCCATACACCCCTACTGCGCCTGATATTCAAAACCACGAAGCCCCTGCCGTCTGAGGAGGAACCGTTGCGCCAACAAGGATCGTTTGCGCGCGCCAGACTTGTGCCGGCGATGACGGCCACCATCTCGGGCGAGTATATACCACGCAAGAAACGACCCCAGCCCCCCAGACGACCGACGGACACTACCTCCGGCTCCGTTTCCGCCTCGGACTCAGTGGACTCTGCATCGCTTGCATGCTCAGTCTCTGTGGACGAGTCTGTCGCATCTGCCCTCGAGGACCCGGACGTGGTCGAGATCCACTCACGCAGCCACAGTAAGAAGGTGGACTACGTGCTGGTCATTGACGCGCCGGTCCATACGCAGCTGGGAGAATGGCTGCAGTATATCGCAACAGCAGAGACATTCGACACAGACCGGCTCGCCCACATCAATCAGACGCGCTACGGACCGCTCACCACGGCTCCCATTGCTTGCTCGATCGAGACTAAGTCTGAGAGTGCGAGGACAGGTGGATTGACGCAATTGGGTCTGTGGGTTGCCGCATGGCACAAAAAGATGCATGCCATACAGGACTTCCTGTCGACGGACCTCGCGAGGCGACCGAACGCTCACGACAGGATTCCCTCCAGCCTCCTTATCCAGGTCGTTGATCACGATTGGACTCTGTTCTTCGCCTGCGACAACGCCTCTGCCATCACTTTGCATGGGCCTACGAAGATTGGGTCAACAACTAGCCTCGAAGAGGCACGGGCTCTCGTGGCATCACTTGAGGTGATCAAGGCATGGATGGAGACGACCTTTCGTGAGGAGATGCAGAGCTGGGTTGTTTGGTGATTGTGAAACTGTATCTACGCTTGGGCGGTGGTTAGTACACGCCAGACGTGCTCAGAGCGCTGTGCTCAAGTTCGCCCAGATGTCTTGGGCCATCCTGATCGCATTCAGGGCACCATGTTGCCAGCCAGATTGAGCGTTGCCATGTGCAATAGACACTGTTGCCTCAACCTGTGAGATATCGAGACGATGCCACTCTTCCGTAGTGAAGTCCGGTTTGGAAACGTTCGTCGCGAGGTGTGGAGTCTCTTGTCAAAGGCTTTGAGCATTTCTCATTAATAGGGACAAAAACGAGTGTCCGCTTTCCTGTGATGATAAAGCTCGCAATAAGGGTCGAAATGGGCGCTCATAGCGGCGGCCGCGGACAAAGAGAGCGTGCGGGACGACAGAAAAAGATCCCTTGTCGATCCCTTGCAATGATACGAACAAAGGTGTTGGAGTGCCGTCCACGTAGGTATTTCTCTTTGCTCGGAATAAGCAAGGATAAAGATAGATATATCTTTGTCGGTTGACTCGCGGTGCTGTACTACATCTAGATAAAACCACTTTTGGAAGCCTTTGAACATTCAATCTTCTCGTCTGTTGTGGTGTTGGACGCACCTAATCTTTCTTAACACCCTTCACTTGAGATCATGCCTTTCCAAACTCGAGCCCAGCGAGAATCCGGCAAGCAACAGCGGATCCGCGACTGGACTATAGCTACCGCTACGATGGCCGAGCATCCGCCGATCGAGGCCATGCAAGTCAGCCAAGAGACCAACTCGAAGCGGCGGCACGCATTATCCTCGATGTCAGAATCTGGGCGCCCCGTTAAGTGCGCGCGCATATCTACAGTACTGCTCGAGACACCATTACTAGAGGATTTGTCGGACGCTCAGACGTTAGAAGAGGACGGTGAGTCCCGCGCCCGCGCAACCTTATTGGTAAGTTCGCTAACGGAAATTATAGTATCCGTCACGCCCCAGCTGAAGATCGAGGCTAATCTTAACCCTAAACGACCACGGTCGCTTCGTCCTAAGAAGGAGCAAGCCCCCTCGAAGCTGAAACTCATGATCCTTGAAAAACCGGTATACGAGGCAAGCCTAGGGAACAACGTGAGTAAGTCCCTCCCCCCAGACGTGGCGCCATTGCATAGGCAGCTATCGGGGCAATGGTTCGGGTCGAGGAGCCTTCCCGACTCAGACCATTGGCTTGAAGAACTACACGAGATTGTACTCTGCGCGAATGAGGCCCAGAGACTGCTAGCCCACGAGCTGTCCTGGAATAACCTAGTACACACACCCTTATTACGTCTTGTCTTCAACGCAAGGACTCAAACTACAGAGGAAAACGAGGCCGAGGAAGAACGGCTACGACAAGCAGTTGAACCGACACAATGGCGGACTAAACGACTAGCGCGCGCTAGACTGGTCCCGACGATGACGGCCACCATCTCTGGCGAATACATCCCGCGCGTGAGGCAGCCGAAGCCTCCGAGACACCCGACAGATAGTACGTCCCCGAGCAGCTCCGTCACGTCCGGCCCCCTCGCCTGCTCAGTATCCGCCGCGTCGGCCGGCACCGACGACTTCGTCGAGGTCAATTCGCGAAGCCGCAGCAGGAAGGTGGATTACGTGTTGGCGATCGACTGTGCCGCGACCACGTAGCTTCCCTCTTATGATATTTTCTTCTATTGATTTTGCTTTTTATTAACCCTGAGACGCGCCTGCTACCCGTGACGCGTCTTAATTAAAACCCATGCTAAATTATGGGGCCTTGGCTTTCCCACCCAATTAGATTAACCCAACGTCAATGCATTTGACCGTAATTTGCATTTGACCCCCTGCTTTCATTAGCGCGAAATCGTTTACTATGGAGGTTTTCAATGAGTTTGACTCAAGTGCATCGTCGCATTATGTCAGGCAGGGGTGTCCTCTTGGATAGAAAAAGGGGATGGAACTAGATGGTCTTTAGGGCTTAATACGGCACTATTCTTAACAATACCTAATCCCACAAGCCTAACCACCCTTGCAATATGCCCTATCTTTATTATTCAAAAACAGTGGGTCTCTTTTATCGTAATACCGCTTGCATTCAGGGTCCCAACGGCGGATGGAGCTGTCGTTACGGCATAGATCACGATGGTCCCGGATCTCAATATCTGGGTAGAACCGCTTAGCCATGTGAAAGAATGCTCCATGAATCCCAAATAATTCCTCAAATTGCCATTGCTCTGGGCTTGGTTTTTCAAGCCACGGGAAAGATGGATGCTGAGGCATACGACCGCCCGTATAGAACATTTCCTCTATTTTGGTATCATTAAGTCGAACTGCGACGTCGACACAGTCAACATCTTCACCTATTGTTACTTCTTCGGTTCTTAGAGTGTATCTGACGGTAGCGTCGTATAGTTTGGTGCTTGATCTGCCGTATAGAACTTTTGTTTTCCCTACCCCAATATGAAGAATTTCCGAGATTGTGAGATTTTCTTCCCCAAGGTCGTGTATTATAACCTCTGTTCTTTGTTTTTGTAAAAATATATTTTGACGTTGGAGGGACTTTAACATGCTAGATTGTGGTACTGAATAACCGTAGCGAGACGTTTTAATTCCAAGGTATAGGTGTAGCGGTCCGTACTCAGGCGGTATTTTTTCCGCGTTATACAAGAACTCTAGGTCAGAGCCTAGGACCACGAGGTCGTGAAATGATCCATACTCTTCCTTCAATAGACTCCAAATATCCTCGCTCCAGCTTCTTGGCTTAATTATACTACACCAGACTCTTGCATGTTGAACCTCCTCTTGCGTATCTGTCAGAGGTGGATGAAACTGAAAATGCGGTGCAGCTAAGGTTACCCTAGCTCTTTCTATTACGCTGAGTTGCTTCGCAATCATATTTTTCACCTCTTGTGGAATTCTCTGCAACAGGTTTTTAGGCATAGCTAAGTGACAAGAAGGGTTATACTTCTATAGTAAAATGACCATAGATTGCTTTGTTCTTATATACTTATCTCTCTAGCAACCGGTCTAAAACGGGAAAGGAGTAGTACAAAGTGAAGTCTAAGAATAGCCTTAAGAACCTCCTACACACAGTACTACAGAATACAGACTACGGACCTGTAGGCTATTACGGCAGGGTCAGCGCGGCTTGTTAGAACTCATCAAGTGGATTCATATACATACAGATCCGGACCACAGCTCCAAAATCAGACAGAGTACAGGGATAGAACGATTCCTGCCATTATTGGCTGCAAAGGTCGTTCTCTTTATAGATTCTACTTTTTAAACCTAATCGTAGTCTTTGAAGGTCTGGTCGCACTCTTTTATAATAAGCCTAGTGACTTTTGTTTCCCGTTTCTAAGCTAGTAATGACACTTGTTGCGCAGCGCGCTGAGTTTTCGTAAAGATTAATAAATCCTTGCGCTTAAGGTGCTTTAATATTAGATGCCATATCTTAGTTAGAAAGGTTATACCTAAGTTTATCGATAGTAGTTTAGAATACGATATCTAGCGCCTATTACGTTCACTTAAAAGGCAGATCTATTATCTTAATGTAAGGCCACGAACCCGTTTTGAATATCGTGGTCCCTGTAGCTATAATAGCCATAGCTATTTTTGGAGGTATATTTCTATACTTGTTGTTATATGCAGAACTATAGCGATGACTGAGACGGGAAATGGCCTTGTGTAATAAATATAGACCTAGAAAAGCGGAAACAGAATTAAAGCTACTTGCTGTCATAGCTTGGCACGCGGGTGTATTCGTAGGTTGATACCGCTGCGTCAACGAGCAAAAGACTATAACTTGAAGTCCCCGACTTCATACTGCATTCTTATATATGTAATTCTTTCAGGTAGGACTCTAGATGTGACGTTCAGGGCTGATTTGATATAGGGAAGGTAGATCAAGGGTCGGTGTTGACGAGCGGTGCGGGTCACAGTCGATGTGTGGTGAAGTATCACTACAGTAAACATACACAAAAAGACTAATTTGTAGTAAAGGAAGGTTAATAATCTACCTCCTAGCCGAAAAGTAGACTTAGTCTGCGAACTTGTAAAAGTGAATAGCAGTCGGTAGATAGCATAAAATCAAGGGGTAAGTATTTCATGAAAAGGTAATGAGTTATATATCCTATAGCGGGGGGGCTCAAAGGAAGAACACAATAAGATAGATAATTGGGCGGGGTAAATAGGGCATCGCTTTTGGGCGGTAAAAAGATGATACTAGTCACTCTATAGTGTACGAAGCTATTATATAGCTATCGCAAACTATGTGCACGTCTTCACTCCTCTCTATATTCTGTTTCTGATAAGTATTCTATTGACCTGAAGGCGGTTGACCTACTAATCTAATGACCACGAACTTAACTTTCAAATGAAATATGTATCGACCTAATCGAGCTGCCTCTAAGTAGCACCCCTAGTTTGGACCATGAGCTTAGGGCGCCCCGGACTAGAGATATGACAATAGGTATTAAGAATGAGATTGCTAATTTGACTCAAGTGCATCGTCGCATTAATGTCAGGGGGAATATTAATAGAGCGCTTTATCGTGGGGAGAGCGAGCAATACGAAGTAGAAGACTAAGAAATCGTTTATATAAGGTAGAGGGCGGAGGGTATAAGAAGAGTATATAGAGGGAAGCTACCAGTGGATTCTGCTTTTGATTTAAAAAGGCGGAAGGATATATACGTTAGGATTGGTAGGGTTGCGATAGGTGGAGACTTCAACGAAAGCGTGCGGTGCTCAAGCACGAAAGTATGCGGAGCGCAGGCACGAGCGCAGGCACGGGGCCGGCCATTTCACCTCTGGGGGCGAACGTATGCGGTGCGCAGGCACGAGCGCAGGCACGGGGCCGGCCATTTCACCTCTGGGGGCGAAAGTATGCGGTGCGCAGGCACGAGCGCAGGCACGAGCGCAGGCACGGGGCCGGCCATTTCACCCCTGGGGGCGAAAGTATGCGGTACGAGAGCAGGCACGGGGCCATTTCAACCCTAGGGGCGAAAGTGTGCGGTACGAGAGCCTGGGGGCGAGATATAGACTATTTTTACTAGAATATAGAGGTAATACGGAGGGAAAAAAAGACTATCGAGATTCTCTTAGCCCTAACCTGATAGCCCAACACGTTTTTGCCCCTACAATCCTTTCGGCTACATGTAGTTGTTCGCCCTAATAGAGCGACTTAACAACCTCTATGATTTCTGAAATCTTCTTGGAAGTAATTTCCTTGGTCGGTCTACAAGAGCTATTGATAAAAGCTCTGCGCCTTGATATCTATTAGACTTTTGATCATTACTAGACATCAACTAGGACCTTACCATATACGTGGCTTGTATCTTTCTTTAAGGCAGCCACTCATGCTTTATAGAGAGTTCTTCTGACGCCATTGGAGCTCCTCGTACCTGTCTCGAAAGCTTCATTTGACCAGGCAAGGGGAAAAATACCAGCTCGGTTTTGTCTACGTCGACGGAGAATCCGCTACCACAAACTTCTGGTTTGTGCGATTCCATTGCCTGCCGACTCTCATAACGCAATAAGTACAGATTTCTGTTCGTCTTCAGCTCTTTACAATCTATAAAAATGAGAGTCCCCGTCTCTAGGATGCCGCTGAGGTTCAACGTAAAGTCTTGACACTCCATGTCAAGAGTCGATAAAGATACTTTTCCGGTTAATGAAGATAGAAGTTTCTGTGGGTCTAAACCCTGAACAAGCTTGTCTCCTCCTCCAACCGGCAATAAAGCCCAGGTCGCCTTGCGATCGAATGTGCCATTAGGAGACGGGTAGAATGGGCCAACCAACACGAGCTCGAATCCCTTTTCTCGTACATCTGTAGCCCATGTACTGCCTTTCTTAAATATCTGGTTCCACGCGTTGCCTTGCACCCTTTCAATGGCACGTTTCGTGTCTACCGAGCTTTCGAAAACTTTATTTCTCAAGCTATCCAAGCTATCGACGAGGGGCAGATGTTCAACGATTCTGAGTAAGATATCAAACGGAAGATTCCAAAAAGTCATTACATAATGAGCATTAGGCTGTGACTACTTGGAACAAGAACGCCGGCTTGCGGCAGTATTTGTATTGAAGTTATGGGCAACCGATCATCATCCAATATCCGTCAGGGCTCAGCTATACAAAATATAGATATTCAGACCGTTTAATTGCTACAGTGAGGTCCAAAACGAGTGTCCGCTTTCCTGTGGCACAATGAATTATAAGAACGGCTATTTCTGGACGCAGTGGAGACATACAGTGCGAGCAGGGACCGGACTCACGAGTGCAAGGTAGCCGTCACATTTGCAAAGGCTGCCGCCCTGCGGTGCCTACTATGTGCACCCCACCATACAAGCTTCACTTACCCCTCTAAAATTCACGTGATTCTAGTACATAGTATAACTAACCATGGCTAAGCCTTGCACTCTCGTCAGGACTAATGGTGCCTCCTTGGCAAAAGCTTCGGAACCAATGAATACTACAGTACGCGGTGGCCTAGACTATAACAGAAGCTATAAGCTAGCTACTAAGAGGATAGACAAAGTCAATCTCAGCAAATCCGTAATCAAATTTGGAGCTGGCTAACCCAGTCGTCCAAAGTAGAAATAGAAGCCTTCGTATGTGAGTGATTTAAGCCCAGCTTATGTTGTCTTAGACGGACGCATTCGCGCATTAATTGAGTAGCTTCCAATACCATTCCCATACGCTGCCAAGTGTGGGCGAGGTTGTTCATGCTTGTCAGCGTGTCGGGATGGTCTGCCCCAAGCTTCGTCTTGCTCGTCTCTATCACCAAATGTCGACGCTAGGTTGGCCATGCTTATTAGCGTGTTGGCATGGTCCGCCCCGAGCTTCGTCTTGCGAGTCTCCATCACCTGCACGTCAAGCGTCTCTGCCTCCTCCCATCGGCCCTGGTTCCTGTATGTCGAGGCCAGGTTGGCCATGCTTGTCAGCGTGGAGGGATGGTCCGCCCCAAGCTTCGTCTTGCGAGTCTCCATCACCTGCACCTCAAGCCTTTCTTTTTCCTTTTTTTTTCCTTTTTTAGTTTTCCTCTCTTCTTCTCTTCTTCCAAAAACCTTCACCAGGCCGCCCGCTACGATAGATGTAGGGGGTGCCTTCCCTGTACAGGCAATCTCCCGCCCCACACCTAGATCTAACCGGCCAATCAGCCTTAACCCAGATCTCTCGTTTCGCTTGAACGGAATCTCCCTGCCGTCCGCCACGCCGCCCATGTACCGCCACCACCCAGTCCGGCCCGCCGTGGTACCGGCCACCGTCTCTCGTTTCCCGGAAACGAGCGCGGCGCATAAGGGGTAGGGTGATTTTATTATCACTCAATGCTTGATTGCTTGTCCTTGTTCTTGAGGAATCATTCAGCCCTTATGTATCCAGGCCGTCTCCAAAGTTCTACGAATAGAGTTTACGCTAGGACTTTCCCAATCACCATGCATTGTCTGACAATATGTGAAGCTTTCGACGCAATCGTGAGGACTAGAGGTGTGGGGTAGTTGGGTCGAAGTCGGCCTCTCGCAAAGGTGTGCCGGCGTGGGTGCCCTGCAGCTCTTAAAACCATTTCGTCTTTTACAGTAATATTGCATTAAATAAAAGCAGGCTAGGCAGATCTGTCGGATAGGATATGGCTGGAATCAGTGTGGCTAAGATATGGTGGCGTGCATCCCTGAATGATTTTGTAGGGGGCTTGCAGCCTGAGGGATTTGGGCAGACACATACATACAACAAAATACAACACATGCATGCCTTGTGACAAGATCTGCCTACCTGACGAACAGACCAAGCCTGTGGACCCGGACCGAGAGATCTTGGCACAGGCGGTTGCCCCCGCAACCAGACGTGGGGGGACCCATAAGTCAATTCCGCGTCCGAGTCCTCGGACCGTTTCGCTTTCGTCATTCTTCGTGCGAGTGCAGGTTCTTCCTTTCCCCTTTCCTTCTGGCCGCTCCGACGATTCTCTATCCTCACTATCACAAGCCCTTTATCGACATTCATGTCGCCTGCATACGACATCGACGCTTGGCTTCGCTGCCTCCCCCAAACCTTACCGTCAGCCACTACTACCACCACCAACGACTCTGCGCCCAAGACTGTTTGCAACCGAGCCCTCGACACGAGCCCCCGTCGTCACGGGCGCGGACTGTCCGTGTCCGATGACGAGAGCAAGAACAAGAGCAGAAATAAACGAAGACGCCTCGACATGCCCTCGCCGCCCCCGACTGTTCGCGGATTGAGCGCAGGCGGCCACGCTGCCGATGACAACCTCTCCATTCGTACCCACGACGAATCCTCGATATCGACGAAGCGCAAACATGCCGACAAAGACAATGTCCAGGGCGCTGGTGGCGAGGACGAGGACGAGGACGAGGACGAGGAAGACGACATGGGACGCGCCGACTTGACAACACCGAGGGCGCCACGCCCAAGTCAGGGCGCTGGGCATCGCACCTCTGCCTCTGCCACCGGCTCTCCATGCAAGAGGTCGCGCGCCTCGGCAACCGACCTGAGCAGCGCCAGCAGTGTCAGCGGTAGCAGCATCGTGTCGGGCGAGTCAGGTCGCTCTCGCAAGTCGCAGTCGCCCCAGAAACAAGCGACCATCCTCAACATCTTCAGCGACAATCCGATTCGACACAACGAACTCCACGAGCTCATGGAGCTGGAATCGCTGCCGTCTGATCTCGAGCAGCTCCTAGGTCTCCTCTTGACCGTCCAGGAGGGGAGAAGCGTCCTGTCGAACCTCGATCGACTCGAACTCAGCGCTAAGATTCGAGGTAGTGCACTCTCCAAGAGGTGGCTCGATGATGCCCGTCACTTCGACGATGGGAGGCCACAGTATGGACCAACGCCCCCTCCCCAGCAAGTGCAGAAGCTCGTTGGGAGGGCGGGGGATTGCTGGAAGAGGAATTGCGAGGAAGCAGTTTGGAATCTCGAAGTCCACCAAAGCGTGCTCTGCATGGCGCTACGCCCAGATCATGATGTGGGTAATGGTGATGATAATGATGATCTTGACCATCTCGTCAGGTTCACTGGCTGGTAAGCTTTTCTTCCAGATCATACACGTCCCAGACGAGTCGACGGCTGACATTCTACGCCAGCACGACCGCCCCCATCTTGCCCGACTACACCGACCAGGACTCCGAAGTCAAGGTCAATCTCAAAGTCGACTTCTGCATCTTCGTCAATCCTACCAAGGACACAAGCGCTCCCATGCAACCCACAATCCAAGCCCTGCAGCGAAGACTGCCTGGCGCATCCGTCAATCACAGCAGCAGCTTCTCCCTCAAAGGCTTCCCCCTAGCCGTCTGCATCGAAACTAAGAGATCGGAAGCAGGCAGGCTCAGCGCCGTCAACCAGCTCGGCGTCTGGCAGCGCTCGCACTTCGCCTTTCTCCGCCGTCTACGGGATGAAGCCCGACGCCTCGCCACCTCTGCGGGTCAGACGCTGCCGCCGAGGCTCGACGCACTGCCTAGGTGGCTACCGGGTCTTGTTGTGCTGGGACACACGTGGCACTTTGTCCCCGCTACCATGGATGACGGACCGCGAGGCGTGACGACGTGGTTTGGTACGGAGGCATTTGGTGGCACGACGTCTGTTCTTGAGACGTATAAGGTGGTGCTTGCTCTGCAAGTCGTGCGGGCTTGGGTCGAGGAAACGTTCTGGCCTTGGCTGCGCGAGCTGATGGTTCACATTCAGCAGCTTTCTGACAAGATGGCGACCTCGTCACAGTCGCAAGGGGGAGCAGGGTGAGGCGAAGTATAGGTGGATGAGAATCCAGTCAGAACCAAGACTCGCCGCTATCCTCATCAGCGCCTTGCCAACGCTGAAGCTCCCATGACGACGAGCGTTGGGCATGCCATCCGTAATGGGCACATCAACTCATGCAGGATGGAGATTAGATGCGTCAGGGATAGCATGTCGTGGTGCCGGTGAATAGTTGCCCCCCTAGCCTAGGTCATCGGGCGCAATAGACTCTGTGTGTGTGTCTGTGTACTGTATTTTATTGTTTGTAATTGGTGTGTGTTTTGCTGTTAAATCCAGTTGCGGACACACAGATGCTTTGGAGATCGAGTAAGATTCAGAGGTAGTAGGGCCTTATCTTATGAGAGGAGAATAAAATAAAATGATTGAATAGGAGAAGTAGGCGTCTCTTTTTCGCAGGAAAAAGTGCAAGGGACTAGTAGGCGGTAGGGCCCCGGGTGGGTAGCGCTGCCGATGCCGCGAT